TTTGAGTCAGTGGGCTGGGAAAGGCAGATCCACCCTTAATCTGGTGGGCACCATCTAATCAGCTGCCAGAGAATATAAAGCAGGCAGAAAAATGTAAAAAGAGAGACTGGCCTAGCCTCCCAGCCTACATCTTTCTCCTGTGCTGGATGCTTCCTGCCCTTGAGCATCGGACTCCAAGCTCTTCAGTTTTGGGACTCGGATTGGCTCTTCTTGCTCCTCAGCTTGCAGATGGCCTATTGTGGGTCCTTGTGCTTGTGTAAGTTAATACTTAATGAACTCTGCATATCCTATTAGTTCACATATATACCTATAGATATATAGATATATATAGATATATATCCTATTAGCTCTGCCCCTCTAGAGAACCCTAATACAGATTTTGGTACTGGGAGTGGTTCTAGAGGAACAGAATATTAAGGGTGGAGTTCTTTTGTTGGTTTTGGGGTTTTTGGAGTTGGCTGCTTAATATGATTAGATCCAAAAATGCTAAGGATTTTATTTTTAATAGTATGGAGAACACTGAGAGTCCTTGGTGTGAACTGTTTAGAGAGTTATGCAAAATAAATGCATTTGACACTCCTGATTCTTCATTCGTGAGAGGCAAGGAGTTTAGTGACTCTATACATAGTACCTTTGACCATATGCAGAGAACCAAGGAACATAATGAAGCTAAGCTCAGGGGACAAAGTGATGAAAGAAAATTATGAACTCAGGGATTCTGGCTTCTGGCTTCAGAAGCAGATACTGAGCCACAGATCTGCTAAGATTGCCCTGAATGAGAGTCTTATCTCCTATAGAGAAAGAGCTGAAATTGTGGAAAAACTATTTCAAGCTATTAGCATGTGAGTGGCTGACTTGTAACAATGAACACATGCACAGTCTCACCAGATGTCTACTGTTAAAGTGAGGGCATTGATTGGAAAAGAATGGGACCCTGAAACTTGGAATGGGAACGTGTGGGAGGACCCTGATGAAACTAGGGACACTGAGTTGTGGAATAGATCTGTAAGGGCAGCACCTACATCTTTGAAGAGCCCTGTAATTGCTCTTCTCTGTATGTCAGATCTAATGATGGAAACTGCAGTCACTCAACTATAAAATTTAAATACACTGGAAATAATTGGATCCTGAGGTGGCAGGGACCAAGGTGGCAGGTGCCTTTGATGGTGACACTCAACCATCAAAGGCAAGGTGGGTGTAGCTACCATAATGATAGCAGAGGCAAAGCGGCAATCAAAATAGCCTGACTTGTGTAGAGCGCTGCCATTGGCTAATTAATCATGGTGTTCCTAGAAGTGAAATGGATAGGAAGCCTACCGCATTCCTACTTAATTTATTCAAACAGAAAATTTCTAGGTTGAATGGACAAAAGGCTAATTTGAATTATATAAGCAAAGAATCATGGCCTGTCAATCAATTTCCAGACTTGAGCCAGTTTACAGACCCAGAACTTCGTGAATGAAGGGGAAGCCAGGTTCCCTTGAGAAAGGACCCACAAATTGACCCACTGACAATTTATGCAGTGAATCTTTTTCCCACTCTTTCCCAAAGAGATCTCCAGCCTTTTACCAGGGTAACTACACAGGGGAAAGGGAAATGATCAGACATTTTGGGGACACTGGCTCTGAGCTGAAGTTGATTCCAGGGGACCCAAAACTTCACTGTGGTCCTCTGGTTAAAGTAGGAGCTTATGGAGATCAGATAATTAATGGAGTTTTAGCTCAAGTCCAACTTACTGTGGGTCCAGTGGGTCCCCAGACTCATCCTGTGGTTATTTCCCCAGTGCCGGAATGCATAATTGCCATAGACATACTTAGCAGCTGGCAGAACCCCCACATTGGCTCCCTGACTGGTAGGGTAAGGGCTATTATGGTGGGAAAGGCCAAATTGAAGCCATTAAAGCTGCCTCTACCTAGAAAAATCATAAATTGAAAGCAATATCACATCCCTAGAGGGACTGCGAAGATTGGTGCCACCATCGAGGACTTGAAAGATGCAGGGGTGGTGATTCCCACCACATCCTGCTCAACTCTCCCATTTGGCCTGTGCAGAAGACAGATGGATCTTGGAGAATGACAGTGGATCGTCATAAGCTTAACCAAGTGGTGACTTCACTTGCAGGGGCTGTACCAGATGTGGTTTCAGTGCTTGAGCTAATTAACACATCTCCTGGTACCTGGTATGCAGCTATGGACTTGGCAAATGCCTTTTTCTCCATTCCTGTCTATAAGGCCCATCAGAAGCAATTTGCCTTTAGCTGGCAAGGCCAGCAATATACCTTTACTGTCCTCCCTCAGGGGTATATTAACTCTCAAACTTTGTGTCATAACCTTATTCAGAGAGATCTTGATCGCTTTTTGCTTCCACAAGATATCACACTGGTCCATTACATTGATGACATTATGCTGACTGGATCCAGTGAGCAAGAAGTAGCAAACACACTGGACTTATTGGTAAATTCATGTGCAAGAGAATGGGAAATAAATCTGACTAAAATTCAGGGACCTTCTACCTCAGTTAAAATTTCTAGGGGTTCAGTGGTGTGGGGCCTGTTGAGATATTCCTTCTAGCCAGGCATGGTGGTTCACGCCTGTAATCCCAGCACTTTGGGAGGCCGAGGCTGGTGGATCATGAGGTCAGGAGTTCAAGACCAGCCTGGCCAGCATGGTGAAACCCTGTCTCTACTAAAAATATAAAAAATTAGCTGGATGCAGTCGCACACACCTGTTGTCCTACTTACTCAGGAGGCTGAGGCAGGAGAATCGCTTGAACCCGGGAGGTGGACATTGCAGTGAGCCAAAATCACGCTGCTGTACTCCAGACTGAGTAACAAAGCGAGACTCCATCTAAAAAAAAGAAGAAGAAATATTCCTTCTAAGGTGAAGGT